CGACGCGAATGCGCGAAAGCTACGTTTTAGGGGTCGTCGAGGGGTTAATCTCGCGTCCCGTGGCGATTCTGTATAACTGCTCGGAAGAAGGACTCGGCAGTCCCATTTTTTTTTTCTACGTGACAATAGCGTGTGAACGGCCAATCGAACATTGGACGTCGCGCGCGCGGTCCGGCGGTCCAACCAAGGGAGTGATCCGAGAGTAGCTCGGACGCATCCGGTAACGACGAGCGATATCGTTAGGAACAGGGCGGTTTGGCAGTCGCGAGCGCCAAACTCGTTCGCGGCAGTCGCCGGTCTCCTCGCTTCCGCTTCATCATGCGCTCTGAGAAACGCATAAAAAGAAGGAAAAGTAAACGGCGATATAACAATAATAATAGTAATGATAATAATAGTAATAGTAATAATAATAATAATGATAATAATAATAATAATAATAATAACAATACAGTTGCTTTGGTATATGCATGTACGTGTGAGAGTACACGCGCGCGCGCGCGCGCGCGCGCGCGGTCGTTGACCTCCCAATTCTGTGGTGTGCTGATAGTCGGAAGCGGCGGGGAGGGGAGGTCTCTCCATCTCCTTCCCGATGACGAAAGGTCGAAGCGCGCGTCGTCGGGTTACTGATATCATCCCCGGTCGACCCCGGTCGCCGCGGTTCCTACTCGTGCCACTTACACTTGAGAATCCTCACGTAGGTCCTGCGGAAGGCCGCGTTGCACAACGCGTAACACATCGGGTTCACAGTACTGTTGATGTAGCAAAGGTAATAAAAAAAGTCCCAGAGCTCCTGGGGTATGTACCACGAACAGGCGGTGATGGACTTGAGAAGTACCAGGATGTTGTACGGGGTCCATGTAATGATAAACGCGAGCAGGATGGCCGACAGGGTTTTCGCGGCCTTCCGGTCGGCCTTCTTCTCCTGCAGCTTCTTCTTCTTCTTGTTCGGCTGCTTGTTCAGTATACCCTTGCTTGTCGTCGGCGCCTTCGGTATGTTCTTTGCGTTCAGCGGTATCCTGATGTCCGGCATCTGCGACGGCCTCCTCGTCACCGTCGACGGGCTCGAGACGGAGCCGCCGCCGAAGCGGAAGAGCCTGCTGGCACCGCTGCCACCGCCACCGCCGGCGCCGCTGCTGCCGTCGCCAACACCACTGTCGTCCTCGCTGTCTCCCATCATGCTGTGCAACTGTATCGACACGGACTCGTCGTGGATCATCTTTATACTCGGTCCCTCACTGTACCTGCCGCCGTTGCTCGGCAATTTGATCAGAATCGTATAAACCTGGAAGTGAAGGAGACGCGCTGTATAAATCTTCGGGCAAATCAACCATAACTTAAGATTACAAAATAATAAATTTTCACAATGTGCTAATAATTCTAATAGTGCGCAATAGCAATTCTTTTCGGAGATACGAAATAAAATATATTTTCTCTCGAATCATCTTCTAAATAAGAACGAAAAGAAGCGTCACATACGGAATCGCCGGAGATGGTCTTGAGATCGGCCGGTCGCGTCGGCCTTTTGTACTCGTGCTGCGCTACTGCCTTGTCCAGAGTGATCCCCGTGGCATGTATCGCGCTGAGGGAGGGACACCGCGATACCGTGCTGGGAAGCGGCGTCTCGGCCGACAGCGGCGTGAGCGTGTCCTCGTAACCGGCCCCGGTGCGGCTGCTCTCTGGTCCGCCGATGTCCTCGTCGTCGTCCTCGTCCTCTCGACCGCTATGCCACCACGCGATGCACCACATCTTCAGCCAGGTCCAGGAGAACGGCCTGTGCTGCACGCCCGAAAAGCGGAAACGGAGTAAGATCGCAGTCGCGGCGATGATCGATCTAGCCGAGGTTGCGTTGGTAAGCGTAATTTTGCGTCACAATGTAATAATAACCGAATTCTTCCCAATTCTTTTTAATTAACGCGTTGAATGCCGCGGCGGTCACCGATGGCCATCGGATTCAATATGACATAAAAATGGATTGAATTCGCGAATGCTTGTAATTGTTTAATTATAATTAATATGGACATATTATTCCAACATAAAAGGTATATTTGTGAATATATGTATAAATATTTCTGTTTTTTTTAATTGTAAAATCGACGAGCTTATTCGGAGGAACGAGTGAATTTTAGTGAATCGGTATTTTACATGTTGGTAGTAAAAGTGTAAAGAGATATATGAGATTTGCTAACAGAGATTTACAAAGTAACGATACTGATTTCACAGAATTGCACAAGTTGTATGAGTACAGAGTAAGTTCCAACTTTTGATGGCATTTGTAAAGACGAGCAAACGGGGAAACGTGCGCGCCAATGTTATTTTTACGTGTAATCTCGTTCTCGTTCACGCTTATGGCTGTTACTTACGCTCTTGTATTGCGGATAGTGCTTATCAATGTAGGAAACGGCGATGTGCGTTGCGTGCGAGACGTCGTCGCCGCCGGTGCTCGACTCACTTCGCTGTCTTCTGCAATCCTCCATATCTAAAGCCTCGTCGCTACACGGAAGAATATGACAATAAACACGTTGAACTGCACCTGGTCCTTTCGACCTCGTGACAAATGTTGACAAAGTATGATTGCTCGCGTTGTCGAAAGAAGCATCTCATTACGCAGACCCGTGAGAAAATATTTTTATCGAGATCAAGATTAAACAAAATTAGCAAATATTTAAATAACAAGATTGACAAAATGTATTCCCACACAGATCAATAGCAAACATTCATTAATAACAAAAATTAATAACAAATCATCATTAATAACAACTAATAGGAAATATCAAAGTAATTCTAAAGTGATATCTAGTTTGACAGAATGTATTTGGGGAGGAAGAAAGAATGAACGATGAAAATAATATCTCTGTAATAAGAAAGAAAACAAAATTAATTTAATGATTTGTTCCAATCGATCATTTCCTGGTGCATCTATGATATATCATATGCTAAATCAAGGGGAGTGTCGATCTTTCAAGTGGGGCAATGCGTTACCATCTCTCTTGTGCAGGGGTTGCAATTGCGTTTTTTTTTTTGATGACGTGCTGACGACAAGTTCGGAGGGAGAAACGATTAAAAGTGTTAGTTACCACCTCGAGTTGCTACGCTTGCTCGCGTCTTGCTTGCCGGCCTGCAAGTTTGGCAAGTCCTTTTGACGTTTCTTCGTTTCCTTCCAGATCCGCCAGTAAAGGAATATCATTATCATGACAGGAACATAAAACGCGGCGATAGCCGTGCCGAAGGTGATGTAGTGATTCGTCTCGATGAATTGGATGTAGCACGCGGTTTTCGGCACGGTCCTTTGACCCTCGATATATGGCCACGCGTAGATCCAGGGTGGCCAGAGAAGCAGCGATATACCCCAGGCAGATCCTGAGAACCGAAGAAAGAATTGACGTCGCCTCGATTGTTTCTCAACGCGTTTGACTGTTTAACGTCATAAACATTGTAATAAATATTAATTTGCAGACTTATATTAAAGTATATTGAAATACCATGATTCATTATGAGAAAATTGTATAATATTGCAAAAATTTAAATGCAAAAGAGCCATTAATCATCATTTAGGATAGTTTTTAGGATAGTTTAAACTTAATATAAATTTGTAAAATGCATTCATTTTTCATTATCATGTTATTTACTCAAATTAAAAAAAAAAATTATCAAAAATTTTCTAATTTTTCAGATAAAAGTGGAGTAGTTTTTGATCGCAAGTTGAAAACCAAATGTTCAAAAAGACAATTCGGACAATAATTTTTTAAGTCTCTAAGATAAAATTCTTGGAAAATTCTCTGGTTTCTTCGGGTTTTCTAGATTTTTCAGAGAAACTGAGTATTTCACTCATTTTGTCTATTTCACATCACAGATTCGATACTCACCGATCATGATGGCGGCTTTGACAGTGGTCCTCTTGGCCCGATAGGTGAGCGGGCGTGTGACGGAGAAGTATCTGTCGAAGCTGATAATGAGCAGATTGAGGACCGAGGCGTTGCTCGCGAGATAGTCGAGGGCGAGCCACGTGTCGCACACGTGGGGCCCAAGCGGCCAGTAACCGAGCACCGTGTACAGCGTGAAGAGGGGCATGGAGATTAGGCCGATCGCGAAGTCGGCCACCGCTAGACTGAAGAGGAAGTAGTTGGAGATCGTTTGCAGCTGCTTGTCGATTTTGAACGATATCATGACCATTATGTTGCCGACGACCGTGGTGAGACTGAGGAGGACGGCGATCACCACTATCATCACACGCTCCCATATCGCGTATTGATGAGGTTCACCGCCGCAGTCGAGACCGTTGCCGCTGACGTTGAAGCTGTCATTGCCGGGTGTCTCCACCATTGGAGTAACGTTCATGTCTGACGGACTATCTCTCGTCCTCTCCCTGTCTCTCTTTCCTTTTTTTTCCTCTCTTTATTTCGTTAATCCGGAAGGCCGTCCCAGCGCCTTATCTACCCTCCGTTCCCTTGGCTCCGGTACGGTTACCGGTCGGCGACCGCGCGTCCTCTGGTTCTCTCGCAAACGGATCCCTCGAGCTCTCGACTGGAACCCCGATTCGCGGGGCACCACCGCCGGTCCCGCGTAGCCCGCCTCACCCTCGCCCTCGCTCTCGCGTACCCCTTTACCATGCGCGCGGCGGGTACGCTGACGGAGCCCGCGTTCGCCCACGCGGCCGTGCGCGCGCACGCACGCCCGCCCGCACGCACGCACGCACGTACGCACGCACGCACGTACGCGCGAACGCCACGCTTCCGGTACTCCTCGTCGCCGGACACCGGGATTCGGCGAACGGTACCACCTTCACCACCGCTATCGCCGCGATCTCTTCCCTTCTCCTCCTCCGCCTCCTCGTCCTCGTCGTCGTCGTCGTCGTCGTCGT